AATCAGCTTGTAAAAATGATTCACCTACATCTAACTAATCCTAGATATAAATATAAAATAAATGAAATAAAATTTACTATACACAAATTAAATATTACTTGAGTACTACGAATATATATATATACATATATAACTTCGTTTTTAAAGAAAATTATATAAAAATATCTGATTTAGACTTTATTCTTTGATTCGTACAAATAATATGTTTTGCAATCAAAGTAGCGATTTTGGGGTACAAATTAAAAAATATGGGTAACTAACATCTAAACATATTATTGTGATAGATTGTCAATGACTTAATACATTTTATTGATTTTTACAAATGTTGACAGGAAATATTTGTTTTAAGTCTATCATTGCTATTTGTATGGGAAAAATACTAATATAGCGTCTTTTTATTTTATGTAGGTAAAAAATATTTATACAAAAAACTTGTAAAGTACATAATATGTTTTACATAAATAAACGATTTTTGAATTAGGAATTTCAATTATTGTGTTTATTTGATCACTATGAAATTCGTGATGGGGTTGCATGGTAGATATATAAAATACCTAGTGTACCATCACGCTGCATTGTTTCAAAGGCGAGCGTGTGGCCGCACTGATGCCCGGTGAAGATAGTTCCTGATGCAGCCGCGGGCTCACATGAATGCAAGGTCCAAATGTTACATTGTAACATTGGAATTTAATTGAACGCTTCCAATAATTGCAGAGGTTTCAATTGAGAAGCCTTGTATTATTCTATACATTTCAAAATTTAGAATTGATTCGGTGGACATAAGAAACCTATCTAAATTATTTTCACATAGAAAACATATTATATTGCATATTTTAGGGAAAGAAAAATAAAATTGTTTTCATTAGGTACGTAGGTATGTAATTTAATTAAAATTCTTGGGACACTAGTATGCGTAATTATTAGGATTGCATTAAATTCAAGAAGGTATTTATTAGTACCAATTTATTGGAATACGGAATACTCGTTACGCTTCTTATATTAACTAATTTTTGATCACATAAGTTTTGTATTGTCTAAAGAAGTCAAATCTTCTCTATCTAAAATATCTAATTTTTTTAGATGACTTCCTTCACTAATTATTGCCGTGTATTTTAATTAATAATATAACTTCATGTTTATAATAAGTAAGAGTTTTATAAGGATTTATTTAATCAATGGGTCACCTAAACCGTGACCTATTTAAATTACAATGAGATGCAACTACTGAATCGGGTGCAATAACAATAGAGCGGCTTGCGATGCACTGTTAGCCATCCACCACACCGCAAGGGCGCGGCCTTCATCACTGACACGCTGGCACATGCAACATGCGATTAAAATTGTACTCATTAGTTTCATAAAGGAGCTCTTGTAACTATTGTATACCTACCTTCATTATTTTTATGCTACTAGAATGATAAACAAACTGACGGCCCTCCAGATCGATACTAAGTACATAAGGTTTTCATATAACGCCCGTGGTAGCCATTACTGAGAATTAAACGTATCTTGTTACTATACTGCCATAACTCACCTTTTAAACAGGAATACAGCTTACCAAGCAAAGTACCTAATTGACGGCAGAAATATGTATAGACTGTCTGTTTACCTCGGTATAGCTTACCTTATATTGTATGATTATTACTTTAAATATCATTTATGGTTTATTGCTAAAAGCTAATGATTCTATGTTGTTTCGCACGTACCTATTAATATCTAGTAGATATAGTTTTTAAATTCTCCCAGTTTTAATAAAAGAAATTACTAATCATATTCGTCTTTATTTCTTGCTTGTTATGTTACAGGCTGACGCATGTTGTTGATATTGGGATATAACATATTTTTAACTCTTTAAATAAATTTTCCAACACAATGATATTTCAATTATTTATTATTCTTTTGTTATTTCCGTGACTATTTTCGGAATCGATAGAAGTTTTTATTTATTTATGAATAGAAGTACGTCAAGTTTAGCGAAGTAAACTATGCTTGTAACAAAGAATCCCATATTAGTAGGGCCACTCTGAAAATTGAAATTTATTATTGGTTGGTTGTAATTCAGTATTAGTGATGCATTTCTGATTGTGATTACTCTAAAATATATATTAATCTGCGCTTTAACCTTTTATTCGGGTTGGTTCCATTGTAACTGTAATATTCAGTTATCTATGATTATTATGTGTATGTGTGCTGTATTCATTCATATCTGGTTAGTTAAAACTATTTACATTCAATAACTGCTGTTAATAAAGTCGCCATAATAAGATGCACTTAATCATTATAAGTGAAAACTCTTGTACTCTTCTACTGGTTCATTTATTAATGTTAATTTTATAACCGAACCCGTTCCGCTTAAGATACTACAGTATGATCAATCAAAGATGTAAAAATTACAGATAAAACTAGTTGATATCGCAACTTCGTACCCGTATTAATTTATTGTTTATATACCGATTATAATAAATCAAGAATTAAATTTTAAGTGAAGCTTACTTACTTACTTACTAATGTATTATGCATTAGTGAAAAGAGAATTTAAAATGTTTATGCCGTTTCTGAGAATAGCGCGCACAAACGCATAGACAAAGAGACAAAAATTTTAATAATTAATATTTTGGTTTATATTACGTCGATAAAGTGCCCCAATAATATCTTGTCTATGTTTTTGTAGTACATCTTCTTTGTATAGGGATTAGTTACATTTTATTAATCGTATATGTAGATGAAACATCTTTATTATACATTTTTATCTACAACAGTATAGGTTGGTAACCATGTTTGGTAGGTAAAGTTTTGTTTACCTAAATGTGCTCAAACGTATGTCGAAGGCCTTAAAATATGTGTTAAAACATTCGAAGATAAGCCTGACCTGGGGTTGCATTTACTCATATAGATTTTATTCTTTGCGTGTGGTTTCTGACCTCCAATTTTGAACTTATCTTTGAATGCTCTGTGAATAGCAATACTATGTACGTTTATATTATTATGGTCACTGTGGGGGACCTTGTCGACATATTCGGGTAAAACAGTCACGTACATAAAAGATAGAACGATATCAACGATACGCATAAAAATGCATCAGTTGTAAATCTTGTCCTTTTAATTTGCAATACTCGTACCGTCTACTACGTGATGTAATAGGTTGGTATCGATTTTATTTGTGAATGGGTAAAAATTTGCCTATAAACTCCACTAAAATCAGGGTCAATATCGGAGCAGTGCACTGGTGGGGAGCGCTCTGGATCAGTTCCTAGAAATCCTCGTGTATGCGAAATTAGGGCCAATTTTTTATAGTCTTCCGGCCGAACCAAGTTTTATCCAATAATTGATTTAATATTGTATTTTAGAGCCGCGTGTAAGGAAATCTATGAGTAGCGGATGACACGTTGTATAATGAACGATGAACCTATGTGTTTCTCTCACTGTTACAATTACAGTACCTATTTGTTATTTCAAAGTCGTTTCGAAAATGTATAAACAAAAACTAGAAAGATACTATTTATGTATAAATCTGATAGATGACATCATAGTCAATATATTTATGTCCATGTCAGGAGTTGTATTACATATCTAAATATGTTTATTACATCAGATTTGACTTTATGTTAGATATAGATACTGGTTAAATGCGTTGTTTATGTAAATTATGTCATAAGTTTGAGGTTAATGAAATCTAGATACAAGAAAATATTATTATTATTTTAATTATTTTTATATAATCTAATGCAACAATAAAGAAAACACAAGAGCTCAGAATTCAACACAGGAAAAGTTTAACCATATTGTAATATTTTTATATTAGGTAGTGATTTTCTATGATGTCATCCCTTAGATATACTTCGTACTGAAGATGAGTTCCTTACAAAAAAAAACATTTTTATATTAACGTGAAATAATTATATTATTATAAAATTCTTAAGTCAATCACTATCACTAATATACAAGTAATTGTATACGGATAATAGTCTCTTGTGATATTTTCTCCATTACCCTGGTGACTTCACGTAACTCATAATAACTTTCGTTTTTATGATAATATAAGGACGTAATTATTGACGCAATTTAAACATGTACGTATATCTATACGATCGTAGAATGTATATATATGAAGATCGTAGAACGTGTAGATAAAGTATATATTTATAATTCACGAGTAGATGATATGGGATGTACCTTGTCAAAAGTTATACTTGCGAAGTTATACTCTTCACATTAAAATGATTATGTTATTAACCAATCCCTATGGTTCTTATAGTTTACAAGGGTTTCTCCTAACTTATGCATAATATAATTTCCGATCATTTACCACTCATTATTCATTTTATTTTTTCTGATTTTCATTATGCTTAAAGGTACAGTTCATATCACCAAAGAATCACCTGGTGGTTCATGATTGTTGTAATGGTAATCATAAAGAGACATTAACAAGAATGATTAATATAGATTTTGTACATTGTACATAAATTAATATTACTTATTATTCAAATTTATTGTTTTAGCTTTGCGACCTGAGGAGGTAGAATTGAAATTTGTGTTTATCTAAATATTAGTTAGTAAGAAACATTAGTAAATATTTCGAGTAAACGTAACAAGTCGCCTATAGAATATATTTTGGTCCCAACGGAAATGCAGTGTACCACCGGAATACTCATCGTGCTGCTACAGTACCTACCTACTGTATGCCAAAAGAAAATGATAATCTGACGTTCATTAACTATATTACAGCTAAGCATTGATTTTCCTTCAGTCAATTGCTAACCACGTCTATGTACGCACGATTTCCTGTGTAATTATTTTTTAAAAATAATTCTTGTAGTTAATTAGAAACCGAGTATACACGCGCTAATGTTTCAGTGAATAAAATTACTTAATCTGTATTTATTACCTAATTAAAGTGAAAATATGAGTGAATTTAATGTATTATTGTTATTTAAATATAAAGGATATTCCTAATTAGTAATTATTATAAATACTAAATAGTTTAAAGAAGTTATTGTTTTATTTTATGGACTTACATGGTGACAGTATTTAAATTAAGTGACCATGGCGCCATCAAGCGGCGGCCACGAGTACTATTACGTTTCATGTCAGAGACGTCTGATAGCAACAGTCTTGAGTTAAATAGTTATAGCTATTCGGTAAGAGATGGCGCTGTATGAAGTTTACTTGTTTTTGTATTTTGTTCTATATTATTATTTTATTTATCTATGATTACTTCTTGTTTTGTTACAGGCTGAGCCGGGAGACACAATAGCTACAACCAAAGAAGGTATGTAAAGGAATTATTTTTAGTTAGCCACATTTGCCTCATGTGTTACATAATGCTTCTATAACGAATTAATTAAACAATAGTAGGTAATATATGAAAAAAACGTACTTCCATTTTATATAATTTGTTTGGGTTTAAAGGAGAGACAAGTCAGTAAATTTTCAAGGTATATAACATGTTAATCGCATGATGACATGGTATGGTGGATCAGCTGGTTTGGCATTACAGTTACATAAAAATATATAAGACATTAAATAATGATACTGTTATATAATTATATTTTTTTATATTTTGTTTGGCAGAGGAATGGGTAACCCGTAAGAAGAGTGAGGTGACAACCACTAGACAGATCGCTACTAGAGTTAAACGCGAGCTCCTGTTGGAGGATGGTCGTATTCTTAGCGACTCCGGGCCGAAGATATCTACCTCTGTTAATGAGGACACACATACTACAAATTTTCAGCAGACAGAGGTACATATTGCAACAGAATTATTTTCTAAATTTTCACACAATATGTTTCAATAATTTAAGTTCACACAGGTAACTATATAGTTTTCTATTTCGATGTTTTTGTTTATGCTGAACTGTAATAATGAATAATGTCTGCGCTAACGCCATACACAGTCGGGTTACCAGTGGAGGGTGATACGAAGCCAGGTCAGTTAGTTTATTGTGGCGAAATCAATAGTAGCCACTTTTTCCCCCCCATCATTCGGAACATAGACTCATCGCAAGAAGAATGAGTAAATGTTGTTTAGCATTACATTTTTAAGATTTTATATGAAGATATATAGCTTGGCAAATAGATAAAGCAATGCAAGGTGTGCTAGAGATGTCTATAGAAAACCATAAATTCAATAAACTATAAAAATGTTTTATTTTTTCAGCACCGTGTACCTGACGAAGAAAAGGGCGCCGAAGCACTTAAAAATGAAGTTGACGGCCCCGTTGGGGCATTGCCAGGCGGTGAGTGTCTTTACATGTTTATATATCTAAATAGATGAGATTTACAATTAGTTTAAACGGTTAAAAAATATTATCAATCAACTTTAATATTATTAATTGTTTTTATGTTAAAATTTGCAAACGACATTTTTGCACTCATGTATATATATGTACATTATATTAATAACCATTTATACGACCTTGAACTGCTATAAAATTATCTTCATAATTTACATAATTATTGAATTAAACTAGAAGTATTCCAATCTGGCAGGGGTTTTGTTGCAAAATGAATGTGGGATAAAAAATAAGTAGACTTAATGTGCTCCTACTCATTCATATCATATGGTCAGTCATTGTCAAATAATATAAACAACATAGCTTATAGATTTATTAAATTATTCATTTCTAGCAGGTATGGGTGGTGGCGAGATAGCACCAGCTGGTGCAAAAGTCCTTACGACTTCGTGTGTGGTCGCCAATCCTGATGGAAAGGTGCGCGAGAGTTTCGACAGAAAAGTTCTCACTAAAAATGTTACGGAGCGAGTTCGTGAAACTGAAGAAAGGTTCCACCGTGGTGACACTACGCATGAGGTAAGCATTTTAAATTTATTTAGATATCTACTTATTTGCTGAAGTATATTAATACAAATTTATTTGGAAAAATTCAAAGTGCAATTATTGAGAAAATAGATACATACCTACATCTCGACTTAGTATAAAACTGCTGTATTGGTTAATAATTTTCCACGCTTACTTCTTTTAAATAACTAAACGATTTTCACTATGATTCCTTTGAACGGTTTTATGTGTACGATCGCAGTCTCATACCTACACTAATTAAAAAGATATTTTAGTAAATTAATCTGAGTATTAGCAATATCTATACTTGTATATATTTATAAAAGTAGTTTATAGTTATTTCATATATTATTCTTGGTTCATTTAAAAACACAATATTTAAATAATTGAACACTTACATTACCTATTTGTATCTCTTATTATTGGTTTGTTGAATCATGGAATATTTAACCCATTAAACACTTACATTATTATTTGTATACGACTTTCCTATCGTATTGATGACCGTGAGTAAACGCTATATTACTTAAATAATAAGGCAGAAGCGTATTGAAATATTATATTTATAAGCTCGTAATTCGCAGTCTAATGCCAATAAGTTGATTCAAGCAATTTACTAGTGCTTTTAAGTCCATACAGTGCGATGATGGAAATTATCTCGCCCCATAAGATGTGAGGGACAAGTTGATAGAGTGTCAAGGTTCGATTCCGTTCAGTCCACGATAGATACCGATGATATATGCTAATGGACTCCTGGGAATAGCATACACCCGCGCTTTCGATATGTCGAGTTAAGGAATTTGTACCTACTTATCTATCTAATATTGTTTATTTTCACTTATTTCCTAACATTGCCGATATCTTGTGAGATGATGAAGTCGTAAAGATATTGTACGAAAAAAATATATTTACATTAAGTATTCTAATTAGAATACATTACATTATATATACATACACTATATGATATCTTTTGTCTGTTAGTTTCTCCTGTAAGCAGCTTGTTTAGATAGACCATTTTAGAATAGATTTGTTGTTATATATAGCAACTGTATTTACCTAATACGTGACCTTCTAAGAAGATATGAATAATTGTACATATTTGTAGATCAATTAGTATAACACTCATAACTTTTCTATTAATTACTCATTACGTCATTAAAAAAAAATACTAGAATATATTTTTAATGACGTGTTCCAATACCTAAATTCTACATTATTTAATAATGATACAATTTATTACAATACAGTTTAAACATGTTTATCACAATCAAGGTTACTGATGTTGTAAATAGTATTTAGACGTTTTATACGTTTGCCTCGACCTTTTGATATACCCTATTAATCATAAATTAATATACATTAAAGTTAGACGCCTTATATGCCTTGTAATGGTGTAATTGAATAATGTAAATTGTCTAATAAGTATGATATATTACAGACTTTAACGTATTTAATTATTGTAATAATGATTTAAAAGAAAATGCTTAGTAAAGCACTTTGGAGATCCAGATTGCTCATGTAATGTATTCTTGAATGAAAATAAATGTTTTTTTTTATAAATAGTTTTTTTGGGTTATTCGTTTTTCTATAGATAATATAGTTATATAACATATAGTGATAAAGAGGTATAGGTCAATTAAAAATTGACAATTAAGTTTGTATTATTGATTAAAGATTAGAAATAACTATAATGCTCTATCTCAATTTGTTTCACTATACGTAAATTATAGTACGTCAACAATAATATATGTTATGTACGTGGGACGTGGGGGAAATCTATATCAATATATAGTTACCTATATAAAAATATATAAAGATAAAAAATTGTATGTATGAAGCGGATAATTTTGTACTGCTGTTATGAAACTATCAAATGATCGGAAATAGTAATCGGCTGTTTCTTGTTTTTAATTACACTGCATCGAACTCAACTACTATTTTATTATGATGATAGCTATCGTTTAAAGCAACTTGCTTATATCCTAATGTTACCTGCAATATAAGGAATGTGAAGTGACTCTTACAAATTTGTTTAAATCCTCAAATTGAGGAATCTCATGGTGTCATAAAGGGGTTAATTATTTGTACTAAATAAAGCCGGATCAATATGTAGTTACAGCGTGAGTTCCGTGCACACTGAGGTCATCTCGACTGGTGAAGGCGAACCTCTTGGCATTTCCACTGAGGGCAACCGCAAATCTTTGCACCATTGTAATACAATTGAATCTATGCCAGAAGTACATATTACATTGAATGGTAATACTATTCTATATACGAATAATATTAATACATTGTAGGATTTGGCCCAAATCGATTTGTGATCCATGAATCTATCTATTCGTACATGATTTCTACCTAGTTAGCTTCTAGCATTTCTGTTTGCTATTTGTGAATGAGTATTTAATTGAAAGTAATTATTTTTTAACTGACGTCCAAAGAAGGAAGTTTTCAAATTGTTATATTTATTTTTGTTTCATTTACGTGATTTTTATCACTAATTTGGAACTCAATGCCGTATTATATTAATTTTATAAATATTTTATTATGAAGCAAAATATACTTGTTCAAATATCCAGTTATAATTTGTAATATAGCAATATAGCTTGAGAGTTTGTTTCACGAATAATCAAATGTAATAATATTGTTTTAGATACGAAAATTAACCCATCAATTTGTTTCGTATTAATCAAAATATTGAATAATGTAATTAAAGTGTACAACATAATAATATGAATAAATAATAATTTTGACAAGATTGATAATATGTGTATAAATAAACTTTACTATATGTAATATTATATGCGGTTAAATACTCATACGAGTATGTTTATGCAAGAAACACGCAAATTTGCATAAACGCAAGATTGCTTGTATTGAGCTTATTTAGCGAAGATGGTCTGAAAGTTAAGAGCATATTTTAAAGTTATAACTGGCGCCACTCGTTTTGTCTTTTTCCAATAACAAGAGCTTCGAGCTCATACCATTGATTTACGATTGTAAAGCTATACTGCTTATAACTTTTTACACCTACACATTTCTATTTTAATGCTATGATCATTCAGTTTTGCTTCTTTTTCATTTGCATCCCAATTACCGTTTTTATAATATTACTAGTTGTAAATGGTGACTTTGTCCGCATTAGGATAAAAAACATTTCCTGGTCTGATGTAAGAGATCTGGTGTGAAAATAGAATGTGTGTATTTATTTTTCGCATTAATTTAGGACGTCTATCTGTATACTCAATTTCATTGAAGTAGTTCAATCGTGATTTCGCTATATTGTAATCTATGTAAAATTATGACTTTTATATATCCTAATTCATGTCGGCGTGATATGTTTTCTTTTGTATTCACTCCTTTTTGACCATATCATCTTTCACATAGTCCATTCATCTCTTTTTCGGCCTTCCTTTTGTATCTACATACGGTCAATTTGTTTATTTATTAATTCTGTCATCAAACTTTTTTAACTAACTTTGAGAAAGGAGGAATACGTGAAGTTTTTACTTTAAATTGCAAATACTTATATAAGTAATATTTGATACATTCATACCCCTGCGAGTGAGGTGATACAAGAGAAATAAGTTTTATTGTTAAAAAAATAATATAGTAAGGCACTTATCGTGAAATGGAGCAGCTTTATACAGATGAGCATTCACATAAATCGATGGGGATTTTGAAATTATAATTTGTTCACGGAGATAGGTCGCCGCGGGCGCCCGCCGCCGCACCCACGCCCCTTGCAAAGTGCACTTGCAACACCGAAACGCTTCGGTTGCACTCCATAATACTTACTGCGTTTTATTTCTATAATACTGTTGTTATTACATGTATTACGGAGGATAGACATTGATGGAATCTGTATGTCTGTATGAATACAGACGTACTTTTTCATGTTTCTCTTTGATAGTAATTACTATGTTAGTGTTGTGTCTATTTAGTTTTTATTTGGAGAATATAATTTCACTTTAGTTCAGTTATAATATAAAGATTACAAGGTTATATGATTAACGATTAAATACTAGCAATGTAATAAATTACTAATTTTATATTAGATATTCTTAATAGAAACCTTAATAGAGAATTGTAAAAATATTGTATAACTAACTATCCGCAGTGACTTTAAACGTGTAATGTTGATAAGTTAAAAAGTTTATTGTTCCATATAATGAACACGAATATTATGCAATCTTTTTTTACCTATAACATTGACAAATATTTTTATTATATCTTTAACACATTTCAATACATTACAACGTACTACTAATAAGGTGGTTCTTAATTAGACTTTATATTTAGTATTTTGATACCTTGCTTATTTTATTATATACATTTATATAATAAAATGAGCAAGGCAATATATGTACTTTTCTGTTTATTCCTTATAATATTGCAGTTATTTTTTATGACATAACATCACAATAATTAGGTAAAATCGTACGGTTAATGTTTCTTATTAGATATTTTCAGTGACTGTCACTAATAGTTTATATGCTAGTTAGTTTATACACACATTTATATACTATACGTAGAACTTTTTTTGTTCTAGAATTAATATAATATGTATGATCTTTTCTTTTATATGGCACTAGCTGTTCGCCCCAGTTTCGTATGGGTGTACATATATTATTCTTATTATATATATAAACCTTCCTCTTGAATCACTTAAAAAATAACCGCTTCAAAATCCGTTGCGTAGTTTTAAAGAATTAAGCATACATTGCGACAGACAGGGACAGCGACTTTATTTTATACTATGTAATGATGGTGATGATTTGTGTACTGTTTTATTGTATAATTGATTTACTTAATTCTTAGTGAAATAGTTGATTAATAAGACAAACTTTAGCGTTTATAATGTTAGTAAAATTTAACAGTGAATATGGTCTTTAATTATTGTTGAAGTTAGTAAGAATTTTGTTTCTATTTAAACTTTTTTAGTCAGGAGATTTCCCTGTTAGAGTATTATTAATGATTGGTCATTATTTACTCTCATATTTATGTTGTTATTG